CCAAACGACCCTAGAGAAAAAAAAAATAGTTTTTGTTACCTCACTTTAGGTAGACACGACCTGAGAGTTAAATGAACGGACGCTAGACACGTCCCTAAGAAATTGGTGGAACTTGGAAAATACTATTTTTGTGTAATGGGAGGAAAATATAATAATTTAAACAAGAGGGTTAATTAAACCAACTCCATGTTTAACTTCAAAAGTAAATATCACAGGAGCTTAAGAAATAGACGGGCCACAGAATGTTAAAAATGTGACATTTTTTAGCGTAAGATTAACAGAAATATGGAATAAACTAAACGAGCTGATTGTAGAAGAGAACTCCATTCATAATCTAAAAAAAAAAAACTATCATAGAAAAATATATCCCGAGTCATTGCATTCAACAACCAGCGGCAGGAAAGGTGGAGTCCAAGAGCTGAAGCTCGACCCTGCAGACAAAAACAACTGAAAACAAACAGCCGAGCGCACACGTACGGACACCAGAGCCCGCTAACACATGCTCCACCGCCATCCACTTCGGAACGTCAACAAACAGGAATGCCGCGTTGATGACTCACTCCGCTACGGCAGACAACCTGCCCTCAGCACCCTCTGGGTGTCTCGGAAATAATAGATGGCGTCTTAATAGCCCGGAAGATATCTCTAGCAACAAGAATAGTTTCTCCCAGAAGCTTAGAGTTACAGAAAGTTAAAAGGGGTCGAATCAGTTTAAAATGGCCGTGGATGTGTTCCTGGAGCCGTGGATGTGTTCCTGAAGCCGTGGATGTGTTCCTGGAGCCGTGGATGTGTTCCTGGAGCCGTGGATGTGTTCCTGGAGCCGTGGATGTGTTCCTGGAGCCGTGGATGTGTTCCTGAGGCCGTGGATGTGTTCCTGAAGCCGTGGATGTGTTCCTGGAGCCGTGGATGTGTTCCTGGAGCCGTGGATGTGTTCCTGAAGCCGTGGATGTGTTTCTGAAGCCGTGGATGTGTTCCAGGAGCCGTGGATGTGTTCCAGGAGCCGTGGATATGTTCCTGGTGCCGTGGATATGTTAATTCTATTGTTTGATAAAACTGTCCGCGTGAGACAGTTATAAGCCAAAGCTGCGTCTGAGTACAAGTGACAGGATGAACAACCCCAAAGAATTCCTTCCTCTTGTGGGAGGGGGGAGGGGGCTGCTGTGCAAATAAAAGAAGACTGGTAAAGATGAAGGAGACAAGAAAGAGCAAGTCACTGATAACCAGGAAAATGTAGGAAAAGAAGTGGAAAACGAAATACAGTTGCCGGCAGTTGAAGAGAAGCGACAACACAACCAAATACGAAACAGCAGCTGTTGGGGAGTGTTGTGCATGCTGCTATGGCGGTGTGTCCACTCACAGGATGAGTGGCGCTGCCCAATACTGTCACTATGGCGGTGTGTCCACGCACTGGATGAGTGGCGCTGCCCAATACTGTCACTATGGCGGTGTGTCCACGCACTGGATGAGTGGCGCTGCCCAATACTGTCACTATGGCGGTGTGTCCACTCACAGGATGAGTGGCGCTGCCCAATACTGTCACTATGGCGGTGTCCACTCACAGGATGAGTGGCGCTGCCCAATACTGTCACTATGGCGGTGTGTCCACTCACAGGATGAGTGGCGCTGCCCAATACAGTCACTATGGCGGTGTGTCCACTCACAGGATGAGTGGCGCTGCCCAATACTGTCACTATGGCGGTGTGTCCACTCAAAGGATGAGTGACGCTGCCCAATACTGTCACTATGGCGGTGTGTCCACTCACAGGATGAGTGACGCTGCCCAATACTGTCACTATGGCGGTGTGTCCACTCACAGGATGAGTGGCGCTGCCCAATACTGTCACTATGGCGGTGTGTCCACTCACAGAATGAGTGACGCTGCCCAATAAACTCGCCCCTCGGGGCAAAATTTAAAAAGCAGCAGCAAGCCTACTGAACCCGACGCGAGAACAGACGGCTTCATTTTCGACTCACCATCGGGAATTCCGGGTTCGAACCCCGGGCAGGACAAAAAGGGTTAGGTGCATTTCCTATCACATAATGATCCTGTTCACCCTAGCAATAACAGTAGTAAACAGGTACCGAGGAGTTGGTCACCTTGATGTGGCGTTGTATCCTGGTAGGGGGGGGAGGGACCTCGATATAAGCCTAACATGTATATATATATATATATATATATATATATATATATATATATATATATATATATATATATATATATATATATATATATATATATATATATATACACTCTAGCTGCCTGTCCCCCGATAAAATTCATTAATATTATTACTAACATCATTATTATGTTTGTCTAAACTACGCTTGAAACTATCCCACGAGCTCATGTTTATTCTATTACATGGAAATTACCTCCCTAGGTCTCCAAACCTCTTCCCAAATCACTATTTACCTAGGTCTAAAATCAATCTAAACTTATCTGATCTATATCCGTTAATATATATAAACACAGAATATGGATTAAACAATTGATTATAAT